TTTCTGATTTCATTTTTCCCAGATCCTCTTTTGCTGCCAGTTCAGAGAGTCCAGGTGGTTGAGTAACAGATTGTTCCATTTTGTTTCCCTTTGTGGTTGCTGTAGGTGATGTGGAAGTCTGTTTTTGAGGCTTGTGTACGTGTCTTCTCATTTCCACAGGGCGGGGGTTGGGGGGGGTGCTTCTGGCACCCACACGGCTCACCTTCTCTTCCCTAGGAGCTTGGGATGGCAGCAGGGGAGTTTCCTTCCGGGTGCTGGGACCAGCTCAGCTTCTCTGCCCTAGGAGCTTGGGATGGTGGTGGGGAAGCTTCCTTCTGGGTGCTGGGACTCGCTGAGCTTCTCTGTCCTAGGAGCCTGGGATGGAGGCAGGGAGCTTCCTTCTGTCTTCATTTAATTTCTTGTTGTGCCTGATGGATTCATTCTGCTGGTCTTCCTGGGATTGTGATCTTCATTGTCTTTTCCTAGGATATTGTTTAACAATTTTTGGAGTGGTAGTTTGGTATTCATGAAGTTCCTCAGGTGTTCATTGTCATGAAAGTATCTTATTTCTCCATCAATTTTGAAAGATAGTTTTGCAGGGTACATCAATCTGGGTTAGAGGTTGTTTTCCTTTAGCCTTTGAAATACTTCACTCCAGGCTTTTCTTGCCTTGAGAGTTTGTTTTGAGAAGTCTGCTGTGATGCTGATGGGCTTTCCTTTGTATGTGGTTTGTTTCTATTCTCTAACAGCTTGTAGAATTCTATTCTTCTGTTTGGTTTTTGGAATCTTAACTATTATATACCTAGGTGTAGATTTTTTTTTTTTTTGATCACAGCTAGTTGGAGTCCTATGTGCCTCAGTTATCTGAATGTTAAGTTTTTTTCCCCTGCTTGGGAAGTTTTCTACCATTACTTCTGTGAACAGCTTTTTTAATGTTGTTTGCATTATCTCCTGTTTCTTCACTGACTCAGATCAGTTTTATGTTATTTTTCCTTGCATCATCTAGCAGTTGCTGGATTGATTTCTCATGGTCTCTTACTGTTTTTTAGAAATCTTTCTTTTTCAGGTCACTAATTGCCATCCTGTTGTCTATATCTGATATTCTGTTCTCACATGCCTCATTCTGCTGCATAAACTATTAGTGGAGTTTTTAATCACCTGGATATCTGTTTGCATCTATTTTATGGATTCCATTTTTTTCCTATGCTGGGATTCCACCATGTTCTTCAGCTCCTTTATTTTTTTATCTGTGTCTGCTCTAGAGTTATTAATCATTTCTTGCACTATGGAAACAATCTCTGTTTTTATGTGAGAAAATGTTTCTGATTTTATTTTTTCCAGATCATCTTTCATTGCCAGTTCAGGGAATCCAAGTGGTTGAGTATCAGATTGTTCCATTTCATTTCTCCTTGGGGTTGCCTTAGGTGATCTGTAAGTCTGGTTTTGAGTCTTACTTATGTGTCTTCTCATTTCAATAGATGTAGCCTGCAGAGCCTTTGTTGAGGCAAATTTTCAATTGCCCAGTTGTCTTCAATTCTCAGGAAGCAACTGAGAGGCCTTTTCTCTGCTGCTCACCACTGCACCAATTCCTGGGTTCAAAATGGTGGCTTTCCGTATCCCTGCTCTGCCCTCTTGTCTGGGCTGGGTTCTGGCTGGGACCTGTGCACACTTGGAATGGTATCCGGGCCTGCCTCTGGCTGGGGGCCTACCCCCTTGCATAGCTATTGCCTGGGTGCCCTTGGATGTGGTCTGCATGCAGTTACCAATGATATCTGGGCAGAACTCTGGCTGTTACTTGCTCACCTGTGTAGCCCTATTCAGGTCAGAGCCCTGGCTGGGTTCCATGTGCCCCCACACAGCTCTGATCCATGCAGGCTTTTCTCAGGGATCTGCAAGCACTTACCAATGGAATCTAGCAGTGAGCTTTTAATAGTACTTTATTGACTGATGAACTGATAGATCTTATTCAAGTTTAGTAGCAGCTGATCAGATTAAAATTCATATATATTCAACTCTTTTTATTAAGTCAGAAATGCTTAGAAATATTTATTCATTTTTAAGTCTTTTAATTTACTTAGCACCATGTTAAAATGTGCTTTGTGTCATGTGGCAACTCTGACCAATTGGTAGTGGTTGGTTGGGAACCTTGTTCTGAGGAAGAGTCTGAGGCTTAATCTTAGTTTCCCTGGAAAGGCCTATAATTGAGATGCTAACTTCACAAAGGTAGAGAATTTTGTCTGCTTAGTTGAGTGTTGCAGTTTCAACTTACTGTTACACTACCTAGAAAGGTAGTTGGCACATACAAATCATTTAAACATTTTTAGCAATGAATGAACAGTAAATAGTATTGTCTCTCAGTAGTATGCATTAGGAATATAATGTTGTGGATTTATTTAGAATAGTTATTATTAGTTCACCATACATTTATATATTTACTTATCCATTCATTCAGAAATATAGTTTGAGACCTAAATTTAATATAGTTTGAGACCTAAAATGAATATTTTTATCAAATGCTAGTTATTATTAGGTCCAGAAATTCAGTGAAAAATAAACATATCATTAAACTTAGAATTTTGTGTTCCAGATATCTCTATGCTTTATATCATATGACAGATTATATTGCAAAAAGTTTGGGTAAATTTCAGTGCACTGAAATGTACCAAGATGGCTGAGTGTTATTTATAAAGCCAATAACTCTTGGTATCTTTTTTATTAATTCTTCATTGTTAGATGCTCATTTACTTCAAGTGCTGTAGTATATTTATGATACACTAATTCTAGTACATTGCAAGGATGAGTGAATCTTTTAAAGTACTTAACCAGTTTGCAAGTTGAGAGGTGTTGGTAAGTACAAAGACCGATAGTTAATATGGGCCACAAGAAATCATTAAAGAATTTTCTATATAAATCATAACATATAGTAATACATTGGATAAATCTAGGTATGAGACAATTTGATTCATTGCTAATATAACAGCTATGCCCTGTCTATTATCTTCTGAAGAGAAATAATATAGCACTTAATATTCATTGAAATAAAATCCTTTGACAGGGAGCCCTGTGTGGCAGGGAGATGAAGGAGGTCTTCCGACATCTCAATTTACAACTTGTCTTAAGAAGTGTATCTAAATTTCTTTTTTATTATTAGACTCTCTGTTATCATTAAGTTCAGAGCCAACTTTGTTTTGTTTTAATGCAGGAAAAATCACAAACCTCTTTGGAAAGGGCACCATTGACCCTTCCTCTGTAATGGTCCTGGTGAATGCCATATATTTCAAAGGACAATGGCAAAATAAATTTCAGGAAAGTGAGACAGTTAAATCCCCTTTTCAACTAAGTGAGGTAAGTACTTCATTTTCATACTGATGACACATTTTGGAGAATACAATATTCATTAAAGGATAATTTAGAATATTTAGTGAAAACATTGTTCTAAGTTACCCTCGGTTCCTTTAACTGTGTTTTCTATGAATTCTTGTTTTTCCCTTATTAAGTGACAGTAAGTAGCCTTTCTCACAAGACACATAACCAGAGCCTATGTATACTAAGATTCTCTGACAGAGAAGAAATCTGTTGCTTTCCTAGTATTTAATCTGTGCCTTTTTTCTAAATTTCTGTGGTATTTTTTTTTAGCATCATAGGAAAACTATCTGTGTTGTTTTTCTTCTGGAGTGTCTAATTGGATTAACAAAGAAAATGACCCTGTGATTTTATCTTCCCACATAAATCATTGTAATTACAAACTCTGGCTTTGACTTTGGTAGAATTACTATACATGTATATTTTTGTAATTATTCAACTTTTAATTTTGACTTGTTTTAGAATGAAAATATTGATAACATGTACAAAAGAAAGTAATAAAAGGAAATGTTTTATAATTTATATTTCACTCATGCCTTTAGTGTTAATACAGATATTTCTGTTATACAAGAAAATCAATATACTGTATATACGTAGGCCCTTGTACATGTCTCTGTACTATCTAATGACAGTCTTTTCTTTTAATAGGGTAGAAGTGTAATTGTGGAAATGATGTACCAAATTGGAACATTTAAGTTAGCCATCATAAAGAAGCCACAGATGCAAGTTCTTGAGCTGCCTTATGTTAATAACAAACTGAGTATGATTATTCTGCTGCCAGTGGGCACAGCTCATCTAGGACAGGTAATAATACAAGAATGCCAGCATGAAGCTAAAGCATGTCTAACTCACACACACATTTTCTGTGCCCTTGATGTCTGTATGGCAGCCACTGATTTATAACCTAGGCTTTGTAGCATTGGCACAGGAGCTGTGAGAAGAAGAGAACACGGTCCTTGCCCCTCAGGATAGTGTATGTGGGTAGGACAGCCCATTCTCACATTGTACAATACATATCAGTCCTTTGGCATTTGGGAGACTTCTTTCTATGGTAAGGAAGTTATAAGCCTGTTTGAGCTCCTGGTCCACAGTAACCTGATTAAGACAATCAAGGACAGTGTTCTGACTGAATTGTAACACACTTTCATGGGCTGATCATTGTTCATATCATGGTTTTGTGAAAGAAATGAGCACCACAATCATGAAGAAGATGTCATAGTGGTGGCAGGAATTTGAGTCCAACTCCCTTTTCCTGGCTACATCCAAAGTTTCGTAGCACACAGAGGCCTTGGAGTGGCTACACCACCTCCCCAACTTAGCTAGGACCTCACAAAGCTCAGAGAATAACAAACTATTTCTTAGGAAAACTGCAGAGCCCCTGGGAGCCTGCAAAAACTGAAACTCATACAGATAAGATTGCCACAGTTTTGGGTTTCTAAATCCACCAGCTTCTAAGTCAGCAGGAACTGGCTTAGCGGTAAAAGCAGTGAGGCTCAGTTGGGTGGGGGAGCATAGGCAAGCCTTCCTGAGAGAGTTGGGTTGGATATGTGCATTTTGATTAAGAAGTAAGATTGTGCCCATCATAAAGACAGAACTATAGTCAGAGAATCATGATCGTGCCCATGAGAACAGATGTGCTTATATATGAGGCCAATTCTTGGGGATTAGGCCCTGGGGACTTGTGGTCAGCTAGGATAGAAGTGGAACAAGGGGAACTGACATCTCAAAAGCAAAATTTGTGATTGCATGGTTCAGATATGAGCTCCAAGAAAAAATTCATCCAGGAAGCAGGGGCAATAAAGAGAGAAAAATCAGTATAATACCTGAAGGAATCAAGTGCACAGTGAGAAGTTTAATGATGAAATATAGATAAGAAGTAGACAATAGAGAAGGGAAGTTATGACTTAGCATTTTTTTTTCCTCAGAGAGGATGTGAGCATTCTTAAAAATAGAAAAGAAAGTCATGAACTTGAACCATTACCATTGAGAATTATAAAACAAATGCTTTGGGCTGGGCATTTAGCTCAGTGGTTTCGCTGCCTGCTGCGCAAGCACAAGGACCCACGTTCAATCCCCGGTATCAAAAAAACCAAAAAACAAAAAACCCCCACAAATTCATTTTTGAAGAACCCATGTGTTTGACTCTTTGGGACTCATCTGTGTTTCATCTTTCAGATAGAGAAACAGCTGAATGTGAGGACATTTCAGGAGTGGACCAACTCTTCTAACATGATGGAAAGAGAAGTGGAAGTACATATTCCCCGTTTCAAACTTGAAATTAAGTATGAGTTAAATTCTCTGCTAAAATCCCTAGGGATGACAAATGTCTTCAATCCAGCCAAAGCTGATTTCTCTGGAATGTCACCAGACAAAGGGCTGTATTTATCAAAAGTTATCCACAAATCCTTTGTGGATGTCAACGAAGAGGGCACTGAGGCAGCGGCAGCCACTGGGGACAATATTGCTGTAAAAAGACTCCCCATCAGAGATCGGTTCATGGCAAACCATCCTTTCCTGTTCTTTATAAGGGACACTTGTACCAGTATGCTTCTCTTCGCTGGCAAGCTCACCTCTCCATAAAGAGAGGGAGGTGAGGAACACCAGGGAGGTAGACGTAGGGGCAGATAAATGACCATAGATCATAGTGAACATACCTCTGTGCCTCAGTTTGTTCATCTGTAAAATAGGTCACTTCCAACTCATTGCATAATCTGGCTTTCTTATCTTTGGGTCCTCGTGTGAGTGCTGTCTGGGTAATATGATTGAATTAATGAGAAATGTTTTAAAGGGTTAATTTCTCTTGCGTTTTATACATTAGAGAGATTGTGAGTAAGTGGCTTCTTTTTCTTCAAAAAACAGCTTAAGGACTTCTACTTTGGTTGGATTTTTAAATATTATAATTTGCTTTGCATGCTTATATATATAATATTGTAAATCTTGGTTCAAAATTCTGTATTGACTAATAAATGGATAAAATGTCTTAACCTTTTTGAAAACTACATAATACACTCAGAAACTAAGTAATTTATGAAGGAAGATTTTGAATAAGGACAACTCAAATTCAGTGAGCATATTATTGAAATTTGGGCCAAATCTGTATTACGTATATTTAAATTTAATACTACTCTTCTTTTTTAAAAAAAATTCATAAGAGTTCAGAATAGCAAAAACAAAACAAAAACAAAAGCATTGGGGTGGGATGGGAAGGGACTTGCCTTAGTCACCTTCTTGTCACTGAGACAGAATATGTGATAGTTGGAACTTAAAGGAGGAGAGTTTTATTTTGGCTCACTGCTGTAGAGGTTTAAAGTCCATAAGCCCCAAGGCAGGACACCATGGCACAGGGGAATAGCACAAGAGAAGCTTCTTAAGGCCTAGCAGACAGAAAGCAGAGAACATCAAGGAAGGAGCTGGGGAGGTGGATAAGCCTTCTAGGCCACACACCCAGTGAGCCGTCTCTTCTGACTAGACCCTACCTCCTAGCAACATGTCAGCTACAAGTTCCCACAATCTAATCACCTTTTGAAAGCCAGCCTATGAGCATTTGAAGCTCTTGAGGTCATTAAGATATAAACCATAATAGAGCAGGAGGCTTCCAAGGGGCTGGAGTCTTCATCTTGCACCTCTTCATAGTGTGGAGGCAGGAACTTGTATGGACACTGCCAGTGACCAGCAGTATATAACCTGGAGAATACCGAACTAATACAGCGACCATAGAAGCTCCTACTGATTTATATAACTCCATATACCTATGTCTATATATCTCCATATATATCCCTGTTTCTAGGCAGTATTTCCATGTATATGTGTGGATATATATCCGCCCTTATTGTAGTGGCAAAGTGCTAGCCCGTATATATAGCTCCAGTGTTGTAGCTCCAGTGCTTATAACTCTAGAGTCTAGAGCTCAGTGCAGGTAGTCCAGGAGAATGGAAGACACACCCAGAAGTCTCGGAGGCAAAGTGTGCAGCTTTATTCAGGCCCTTGACTGACCGGTGGGTCAGTCTGGGACTTCTTCAAACACTGAGCCAGAGCTGGGTTGTCATACCCTTAGGGAAGGGGCAGGTTACAGGAACTAGGGTTTTAATATCATTTCATTGGTTAGAAAGTTACACATTTCAATGTTTTATTTACGTACAGGTCCAGGAACCTTATTGGTTACAGAGTTTCACATATAGTGGGTTCATTGGTTAACACCATGCACTGAGTTTCACCTTACTTGCATATGGCAGGAAGGCAGGAAAAACTGTTTAAGAACAAAGTTCTTACTGTTATTACAAAACTGTTTAAAACAGTTTTAAAACAAAATAGTTCTTACAAAACTGTTTAAGAACAAAGGAAATTCCTAAGTTGTTTGAGGGAGCTGGGGCCAGGCAGGCCCAGGCATGTTAAAAGAATTGGAGGGAAGTCATCTTTCTCTGTTAACAACTCCAGCTTTAGCTACAGAGAAATTTATTTCCTTTTCAATATATCTCCACATATATGTTTCACTATATAGCTCTATCTATGTATCCATACATGTATAAATTTGTATGTATATATCTGCCCACATATCTGTATTTCCATATATATCCATGCATATATCTGTCCATATATATCTCCATATATATATCTCCATATACACATGTGTATCTGCCCATATTTATATTTGTACATCCGTGTCTCCTTATATGTGTATATATATATATATATATGGCTAGAGTTGGAAAGGGAGAGAGATTTAAAGGAGGTGGCTCTTGCAGTCTTGCAGCAGGGTCTGAAAGGCCTTCAGAAAGCAGAATTCTCTCTTAGAAGACCTCCTTCAATTTTCCCTTGAGGCATTCAAGTGGTTATATGAAGTCCACTCACACAATGGAGGATAATCTGCTTTGCTCAGTGTGCTGACTTGAATGTTAATCTTGTTTAAAATACAGCTTCACAGCAATGTCCAGACTGGTGTGTAAGCAAACAACCAGGTACTATGACCTCAGCAAGCTGACTCAAAAAATTAATCTTCACAGTCACAAGCACTGGGGGCAGGGAGGTGAATACAGGCCATTTTCACTCTGTCGGAGCTAACAAAACATGTGCTTTTAGCAGTGTAAATAATACAATTCACTGGCTGAGTTCATGGAATTTAATCACCAAAGAAGCCTTGTTTTTGTTTCTCATTAACCCTATAAAATTACTACTGGGAGGTCCTTCCCTAGTACCAGCATGGAAACTCTGGCTGTTCACAGGTCCCACTTACACTGTAGCAAGTCTGTGATTGTTTCATGTTACAGACTCCATTCAGTACTCAAACATGTTTAGGCCCAGATAGAAGTTCAAGCTCTCACTGTTTCAGGAGTACTGTGGATTCAACATTGTTAACCTCCCCTAGGAGCTCCTAAGAAGTGCTGTCTCTGGTTCCACCCCAGTCCTGCAGCTTAACTCAAGATCCTCAGATGAACAGTTGGAGAAGCCTTGTAAACCTGATTTATTAGTAGGGCTCTTCCCTCCTCCCAGTGAGAGTAGGGACTGAGAAGCCTGGGGTCTGGGGGAGGGTGATCTTCCTCTGTGCTGCCAGTGCTCACCCACTTGCTATTTCTGCACTTCTGAATTTCTTCCCTCACCACTCTCTATCTCTCTATCTATCTCTCTATCTCTATCTCTATCTTTTTCTGCAGAAGTTTGAGCCCAGGGCCTCTCCATGCCAACCACTTGCTCTACTCTGGAGTTGCTAGTTACTTCTTTTTTTTGTTTTTTTAATGAGTTACTTCTAAAGAGGGAGCAGGAGACACTAAGAGGAAAGGACAGTTCTGCTGATTCACAAGCTATCATACTCTGAGTAGCCATTTTGCTGGCAGACACTGTGCTATGTTCTCTGGATCGAGGGCCCTCTGCTCCCTCATATAGACTAACAGCTGGCCCAAGTAATACATCCCACAGCCCTCATAATTTAGTTCCTTTGTCTTTCTAGCAAAAATTCTTCTCTCCTGTGGAGGTTTATTGAATTTCTTGGAGTTGTTCATTAATACTATCCATCAGATTTAGACAATGCACAGAGATTCTTTCTTCAAATATATATTGTTTTCTTCAAACATGTTACTGGCAATAGAACCTGATCCAATAAAGTTTCATTTGGGGGTGTGGTTTGGGTGGACTAGAGTAGTTCTTACTACAGGGTAGTAGTCAGCAGCTACAGCCTGAGATCCAAGTCCAGCCCAGTGCCTCTGGGTAAGGATAGCACTACAAGCCGGTGACACTAAGCCCAGTGACCTCTGCTCAGATCCCTGTGCTCCCAGCACCTGCTTCCTACAGAACTTCAGTGCAAGGTGGAGTTTCTCTGTCCCTGAGTCAGTGACTCGCCTGAGATAGTTATGCTCTCCAGGAAGAGAAGTCATCAGGATCTGGGGGTTGTTGGACTGAGAGAGGCTGATCTGAGTGGTCACAAACACTCCTCCGACCTGCCCACCTGCTTTACCTGTCCTCCCCCTTGGGAAGGTCATTCATCATCCCTGAATGTCTCCAGATAGTGACAATGGGGCACAAAGCACATCACCTCCCAGGATGGACTACCTGGGACCAATAGGAGGAACAAGGTACGAGTTTATATAAGCTTGTGGGCTGCACAGCCTACACTATTTACTACCTATCTCTTCACTGTAAAGTTTGTGGACCTCTGTTTTAGGACCAAAACAGTCCAAGTCCTCAGAAAAGGTCTTTCTGAGGTATTTACTGAGCATCTCTATTGAATATCTGTCTATGGCACTCTCCACTATAGTGGATAGAGTTGCAATGTGTTCAGTTGTTAAACTCTTGGAATCTCCATTTGCCTAACAGTCTCTCATGGTTATTCCTTGTTAGGTTCAGCCTGGTGGACCTCACTCTGGATGTGCAGTGTAAGATTTGGCTGAAGACTCAAGAAAACTCAGTCCCTCCCACCCAGCCTCTCAAGTTCTCTCTCTGAGCAGCTTCTTTAGTGCATGGCCCTCAATTCCGTTCATAGCCCTGAACTCTACCCTTCCCTTCTCTGCCTAGATCACAGCTCTCTGTAGGGGTTTCTATTCTAGAGAGCCAGGGGGAAATGGAGCTTCCTGAAAGTGAGCCCTTCTTCTAAGGATCATGACCTTATGCTGTCTTTGGCTTACAAGGTGAAACCATTGCCTCCTACACTCTATCCAGTACTTTTTCTTTTTTTTGAGATAAAGTCTTGCTATGTAGTTCAGGGTGGCCTTGAACTCACTGTGTAGCCTCAGCTGACCTTGAGCTAGCAGCCATCCTCTTCTCCCAGCTTCCCAGCTGCTGCCCTGACACGTATGTGCCACCACTCCAAGCTTTAGTTTGTTTACCATTGGAAGTAGGTTTGACAGTTGATACTCCATAAAGGATAAAACTAGAAGTCCAGAATTCCTATAAGTGACCCAGGCCACTACTCCTGCCACAGTCTGCATTTGTCCCCAGGAACCTTGCCTCTCTGAAAGCTTTAGAAGTTAGTACTTCCCATATTCAGAAAACATCAGCTCCATTTTAGTTTCTTAGCCCAGTGGCTCCCAATAGCAGAGAACACATAGGTGGTCCTCTTGGCAGACCTGCTGAAGTTGCTCTAAAAACTTGGGGGAGAGGCCTCACTTAGGAAGATTAGATGTACCTTGTATATACTTCTTTTGAAAGAAATCCCCTTTAAGATTC